TATATATATATATATATGCAATTGTGACTGCTTTTGCAAAATATATGATAGATACAGTTTGAATCAGATTATGTACGTAGTCTTTTATAGTTACATACAATCAATCTATAACCTTTTAACCTTTGAAGAAAGCTACAGCTCATCAAATATTTTGAACAGTCTGAGCTTTAACCTCATCTTGTTGATATTCACAAGTTATCATGGCATTGCAAAGCTTAATATATAACATACATTTAAAACTAACTTGGGGTAATTTTAAGTAAAACAGAATCACACATACCTCTACGATATCGTATGATGTTGTGATGACGGGGCACAAAGTCAAAACACACAAAATCTTTCTGACTAGAGAGATGTAAGAAAATTATACAGTATCCAAAAACAAATTTTCATGTAATAAAATAAGTATGTGAGTACATGACACTAACTGACATCAGTTAGTCTTAAAATCTGATCTTAAGTTTTTAACTATGACTATAGTAAAGACTGGTTTTAAAATACTTGAAACAAACAGCCTCAAAACCAATTAATAACATACACATGTTATAAAGAAACTGTTTTCATAATGATATTCAGTTACTCTCTTTAATCAGTACTGACTCGTCTCAAACTACTCTTCCTGTTTAGCACACGTCCCTATGACTTCAAGATATCGATAAATCCTTAAAACTTGTATTGTTTACTTGAAGTTCAATCATTCGCTCACAAATGTTAATATAATATCTAAAAGAATTTAACATAGCATTACAGAAAATACATTTCAAAATCAACTCAAAACATTTCTATGTAACATGTGTGAGGAAGAAATTGTGTAGATTTTTAATTAAACATTTCAGGACTCACCAGCCATTGATACCCATTCTGGCCATCACAAAACGAGAACCTCTTCTTTCCTGACACACATAAACTTCTTTCTGCACTCTTCCCTGATCTGGTTTCCAAATTTCTATCATGTGAGTGACATTGATGTTGACTTCAGCATCAAAATTGGCTGTGTTGATCCAGGTTCCAGTGAAGTTATCTGGCAGCTTACACTTAGGTGGCACAATTTCTGCTTTTACTAAACAAAGAAGTTAGCAACAAATTAAATTCCATGTACAGTAATACCCTATTTAGAGCTCAGGAAGGATTCCCGAAAACAGAGCTCTAAACGAATCAGCTCTAAACAGGGTCATTTTAACATTACATATGTTACTGAAGGCATTGTTTCTTACCTGTGTATGATGTATAAGTGCTTTATTTAGGTACTGGGAAATTTAACATAAATTACTCGCTGTAATATCGTCATCACTAGAAAAAAATCAAAATTTTATTAGCTTTCAATCTTGTTTGGTTACAGAGTCATCAAGCAGAAAATCATAACCCTCCTACCACACCCAATTGTCAAATCCTCTCTTTCAGGATTTGTCAATATATGTAGTTCTCTCTTACGTTTAAGACCATATTAGTTATAATCAATAGACAGGCAACATTACAGAGTCATCAAGTAGAAAATCATAACCCTCCTACCACACCCAATTGTCAAATCCTCCCTTTCAGGATTTGTCAATATATGTAGTTCTCTCTTACGTTTAAGACCATATTAGTTATAATCAATAGACAGGCAAGGTTTTCGTCTATCAAATGACATATTATGTTGTTTTCTGTACAGCCTTGTAGATTGCTTCCTAAGAAAATGTTTTTTTTCTTCCAGTGGAACAATATTTTGTAGATGGATGGCATTTTAACGGTTCATATTGAACTGCTAGAAATGCCAGGAAAAATTGTGATAGTTATGGGACACTGTCTGCTTTTTGCATTTTATTATTCAATGTTGCATTAATTTATTAAATAAAAATTATTTAGTGCACTACTACAATTAGTATGAAAAAGTAGTGTTCAGAGAGTTATGGATTATCATAATTTTTTCCTGTCTCATGAAAAAGACAATATTTCAAGGAGACAAGAGTTCTATAACAAACTAGCTTAAAGTTGGGTGGCATTAAGTGGCATCTTACTGTACTGTTAAACTTGCTAGCTTGTTAGTCAATAATTGTTAACAGATCAAATATCATAATTTGATAAACATAGAAAGAGCCATTTTTCATTCATTACTTAACAATACTCAATTATCAATAAAACCTTTTGTAAATCAAGATTATTCAAGTGAATTAAAGATATACATGTAAAAAATATATAAAAAAAAGAAAAAAAGTATATACATGTAAAAATTAATACTAGGAATTGAAGATATGGGATGTCCACAAGACATGAGCATTTACAAAATGTAGTGAAATTTTTAATCATATAATAACTGGGAAGCAAAAAAATAACTAATATTAACATGAGGATTTTCTGTTGTAAGTTTGTGTACTGATGGCAATTTGGAAAAATTTCAAACTTAAGTGAAGCCTATTTTAATGTTTTTGTATTGTGAAGGAAATAAGTTTGTTCTTTATTAAGAGCATCTAGATGAACCACTGGTTTATGTCTAGATATAACAAATGGAAGAGACAGAATACCTAAAATAACACATGTTACTTAATAGTAATTTTTTTTACTTTTGGGTAACTTAACTAAGAAGACAGTATCTAAAACATACTGACACTGATAGTAGTATATATTAGCACTAGTTAATTGCTATAAATTATATCTTAATGAGAAATATAGCAACTACAATTTTATTAATTGAAGTGCTAAATATAATAAGGGTTATGTTATCTGAATCAATGTGCTAGCCTATTACAGTGTTTGAATTTATATGGTCAAAAAATAATTGTTAACTTCTCATATATTTTACAGTATTAATAAAAAGAAATGCTAATTTCCTTGTATATATTAGCATAAACACCAAAGTAAAGCTGACCGAAAAAACAAAAAATTTGTTTTAAAGCTATAAAACTTCTTAAATACATGTATACTGTAAGAAGCTGAAATCTTTTTATTATGTGTGCACTTATCCCAATATTAATTTCATAAATTCAATCTTTTAAACTCTATTTTTCTAAATGAATCTACATAGTTTATCATAAACAATCTGCAAAAGTGCATCAAGTTTAGATTAATATTTTGAACACAACAGTATTGTTACTTTCAATATATTCTTTAGTGATATTTTACCCGACTTTCTGTAAATTACTTGTGTCAGTACTTAAAAAACACTGCTGTTGTATTTTGAATTTATTGTTCGTGCTATAAATATATGGTTTAGTGAAATCAAAATATATGATGTCTATTATGCAATTGAATGTCCATATCTTACATAGGGCATAAATTATATCAAAGTTGTCCAATTTATTACAACAAATCAACATAAACTATTTTGATTTTCAAAAATCTGATCTTGAATTAATATAATATGGAAGTATTCATGGTTAAAGAAATCAGCATATTATACAAACATTATAAAAATTGATAAAATCTTTGACAAGAATATCTATAAGGTCTTTTTTTATAATGCACATAAACACACACACGTCTAAATCTTATATGTAAATGTGTTCCTTACGGATCTTGCCTTACCTCGATTTAGCCTTAGTCTCTCTGGACCATCCTGTGGTGTCTTCAGTGTATTACATTCTGCTGTGATAGAAGCTGCTAAGAACTCATCATCATCTCTATTAGCCAGCTACAAATTTAATAGATCGGACATTTTTATATTGTAAGAATATTGATTAATGAATAAAATATTTTCTATCCTAAACCTAAACACATAGCAATTGATGAAAAGAGACGATTATTTAAAGTTCTGTATACAACTGCAGTGATTAACTGTGTAACAAACATTTGTATATATGTTTGACTTGTTTGAATATATTATTTTAAAACAAGTGGATTGTGTACTGTTTGTTTATTATTTAAATTTATTGCCAACAAATCACAGACACCTTCTGTAAAGAATCCTGCCCATCCATCTACATAAAAACCTGACAGCAATAAAAGATATATCAATCTGATTTCTTACTCATTATTTAGTTTGGTGGTTTGTTTATATGCATTTATGAGTAAGAAATCAATCTGATTTCTTACTCATAAATGCATATAAACAAACCAACAAATTAAATAATGTATTTCACACATTTGTGTGGGTGTGTATTATTTTTGGTGAATTTTGAAAGAAAAACATCTGCTTAATTAATGTGAAGGTACAGATTTTTTTCATAACTTTTAATTTTATTTTCACATTACTTTAACACACATTCATAATGCTTGAGCAAAATTTATAATTTTGATAAACATAAGCTTTTATCTTAAACAGGAAATATTCCACTTTGTACCTTTGACAAGGATTTCAACAAATTTTTAACACTGCTGTCAATGACTAAAGAGTTTTAACAAGTGGTCTCAGTAGAAAAAAATTAAAATTCATAATGGAAGGCTTTTAAACTGATAATCCCCGATATCTAGCACTGATGTATCATTCTAAATCTTTACTTCTAGATTCTGACAGCTCATGAGCGTACATGATTAGATTTCTGGACATAAAAACTACCATATAAAACACAGATATGGTTACTTGAAAAGTATTCATGTACAGTAACTCTCTGATTTACATTGATCTGATATTAAGTCGTTAAGAAATTAAAGAACACTATCCAAAATAAGCTGGTTAAATCCAGTTTAACATCCTTTTTGGTGGCATGTGCTGAAAACGAAAAATTTAAACTTCGTGCCTAGGCCTATGCTGCATCACGACAACAAGTAGGTGCACTGTGCAGGCATTTTTCAACTCCTGAGAATCAAGTCAAAGTCAGCCAACTTGCCTGCACTTCCCTCGGCCTCAGTCACACATTATTGAGTGATATTCCCTGTGATTATTTTGTAACAAACTATCCAAAAACCCTTAAACATGAGTGTTCTGTATTGATTTATTTATTTTATAGGTCTTTATGTTGGGTTAGATTAAGTTTGGGTGTCCTAAAATTAGTCACCAGAAATGCATCCTCGCTGTATAACATTAAGTCAGTGGGAAAATAGGGGCTGATTTATGTCAATCCGCCTAACGTTATATTTTCTAGGAATGCATCTCAGACATAAATGGGAGAGTTACTGTATAGGAAAGCAATAAATGAAAACTTACAAAACATCTGTACTTCTCATCAATTCGAGACTCCCTGGCATTAACAACAGCAAAGAAATGGTTTTTTCCAATGTACCAATCCCCTAAGCATTTGTACTGAACCTCTAAAAACAAGTAAAAATCAGTGTTAAGTAAAATACCAAAGATTGAACATAAAAATTGGGATTTTACACAAGCACAGCAGAAAAACACTAAATTTACATCCTAGTGTTAGATAGAATATAAAAGAAAATGTGTATTGAATCCACTAAAACACTTTTATGATCAAAATGTCAGTGATGTTGTTCGTGCTTGACTTAAAAAAATGAAAGTAACAGAAATGTTCTTTTTAAACAGTTCATTATTCATCATAAACTCAGTATGACTATTTTCAAATGATAAATGTACTGATATGCATTGTAAGTATTTATCCATTTTTCTGTTTAACTAGCTTTATTGAATTTTATTATTTATCATTTTTAAAATCATCTTTCATTTTATTTGTTTATTCAATCCTCAGTTTAGCAATGCTTTATTGGCATAATGCAAACTATTGGAAATAATTTATACAACTGAAGAAAGGAATAGCTATAAAGCAGGAAGTGTCAGCAGAGTTAATGTAGAAGCATTTGTTTTATCTGTGTTGCAACATCCTCTACCTTAAGCCAATGGTTCTCAACTGAGACGCATAATTATGGGCTGCCATGAGACACGTATAGTTTTGGGCTATCATAGGCTGGGACACCTGTACTGCCCTAAATTAACGAGTAATCAGTTGCATATATTATTACAAATGCATAAATGTTTACAAATGTATTAGTGTTTTGAGTGTTGACAAATTATCTGGACCTACGATACAATGTCTTCAGAAAATAAACTCTAATTTATAAAGTACAGTGCTGTAAAGTGATTTTTATACTATGCATTTGTATAAACACCAGCTGGTAAAAAATGTAACTGTAATATGGTCTAGTCATATTAAATTCAAAATAAAATCTTTGGGCTATTTGGCATTTCAGTTTCATACTGTTATTTCTTAATATCAATTAAAGGTTTTGCATTGTTAATTAACTTACGTCACTAAGATTTCTACTTATAAGGCAGTTGTGGTAAAAAAGATTATAGATCAGACTAATGACATTACAGCACGTGTATTTTAAGAAATTAGTAAACAGACAACGTTATTCTGTTTAAAGGTGGCTAGCATAATTATCTACATGATGGAAAAGGTGTGATGTTGGTGTTTTTAGATTTTCAAAAAGCTTTTAATAAGGAGTCATACAGAAGGTTATCTAAAAAAAACTAAATCTATGGGGTTTGCAGAAAAAGACTAGTTAACTGAACTATAGGGTAGCTGGGTAAGAGAAAATACAAAGGTGTATCAATGGAGTCCAATCAAATTGGAATTTTGTTACTCATGGGGTCAGTGCTTGGGACTTTGCTTCTTCTTATTTACATTAATGATATTGATAGGAGCATAATTAACAAAGTCTGCTGATGGCATTTAAACTCTTGGGTATTTATATCTGTATTGAGGATGTTGAGGTACTACAGAATAGATTGAGTCAACTGGTAAGTTAAGATAATGCAATTAGTTTATCATAATTCTGATCACACATTTAATGTAGATGGGGACTTATGCAATATGTCACTGAAGAAAGGGGATCTTGATATAGTGGTAGATAAGTCACTCAATCCATCAAGGCAATGCTTTGTTATTATTAGTAAAACTAATAAAATTTTAGGTACCATATTTTTCGGAATATAAGAGACACACCCTTATTTTGAAGACAAAGTTTTGGGGGAAAAAAGCTACAGTCCCATTTGAAAGATTTTTATTGAACAAAAATTCAACTTGATACTTTAAAAATTAGTATATATTGTTCTAAACACAAAAGAGCTCAAAAACATCAAAATAAGAAAATACC